ACCCGGAGTTATCCTGGCAACCTCAGCCAGTTTCGCTTACGAGCCATGCTCGAATCGACAGTAAAGAACCAAGCTGCTGGAAACCGGGTCCAGCGTCCCTTTCTGACGTGCTTTCCAAAAAAAAGATAACTGGGGACCTCATAAGTAGATCCGCCGATTTTCTCTTCCCGCAGGATCTTTCTTCTTTGTCTGTAAGTCCTTCGTGTGACTCCTGGGCCAGTTCTTGGATGTTGTCGCCTTTAGTGCCTGACTCTTCCTCTTGCAGTGGCGCGCTTTGTGCCATACAAGTCTTCCAGGTTAGCAGGAGCTAAGGCTGTCAGCAGAAGCTATGGCAAATACTATTCTGAAAAACATAATAATTTAATAGTTGGTAATTTTAAATTTTATAATTTGTAATTTTATAACTTATAATTTAATCATTATAATTTAATCATTATAATTTAATAATTGATAATTTAATAATTGATGGTGATGGTGGTGGTGATCTCTGCAGAGGACGGACAGACACCACAGATGATAGATCTTGGTTGATGACGACTGAAGTCTGCAGGAGGATAGCTAACCAGGGATTTGTCTATGCCTGCGGGCCAGGCCCAATCATTTTAGAACCACTTAGAAATACAAAAATGCTGTCACACATCGTAGAATACTTCGCTAGTGGGTCCAGGTCCCTGGGGTCGGGACCCACTAGAGACGTTTTACAATGACTTGCTGGTGTTTTCAATCGCGTGCCGCCTTTCGTGACACATACAGTCCGTGGATGGAGATTGATATCCATGGGGCCGCCTGTTTGTGAAACCGTGAAGTTTCGAGGCTGGGGCGTCAACCAATCCGCGTTCTAGAAAGGGCTTACTTCTTTTGATTTTTTTAATTCAAATTCCACTGTTCATCCGCTGCATTTTTGCCCATTTTTGAGGTAGGGGTTGATTTTGCAACGTTTCCTCGTTGCTTCCTCGTTGCTCTCAGCCTCCATGAGATCGGCAAAACAGAAACATGACCTTGAGAGGACGCAGCCCATTGGCTGACAGAAGAACCCATCCTCGAAAACAGGCGACGAATTCGCTGCCTCGTTGCCCGTTGGCTGCCAGGAGAATCCAGAGAATGCTGTGCTTTAATTCACAGAAAACGAGGTTTTAAAATCTGCAAAAATAGGGAAAACGATTTTTTTTATGCGAAAACAGCGTCACACACGTTGTACAACGCTGCTTGTGGGTCCCGAGTCCCGACGCCTGGAGCGAGATCCCACTACGGATGTATGTGGATTAGTGTCTAAGGTGTGTAACTGTCATGCGTCGTGGATTCGGCAGGAAATCCGTGGTAGCCTGTTTTTGTGAATTAAGCCCGGGAAAAGGATGTTTTCTTTTGCTCTCCCATTGGTAGGTTTTTCTTTTGTTTTCGTTGTTGGGGTCTTGTGGCTGTCCCAAATGCGCGTGAAATCAGAATCAAGTTTTTTGGTTCATGAATTCACACACGTTTCACTCACGGCGAAGGCAAAGACGAATGGCTTCATCGCTGGAAATGGATTGTGGTTTGGGAGGTGATTGGGAAGGTTCGATCCCCTCACCTACAGCAAATGGTGTATGGAGTTAGGGCCTCGCTGCACTACTCTTTTTCCTTTTTTTTTTCTTTTTTTGAAATAGCCCAGGTTGTTGTAGAGTGGCCGACTCTCTCGTGAAAATTTGCAAGAGTGCGGCATGAGTTGTCAGAGTCCTAAAAACACCGCCGAACATGAGTTCTGTCGCCGCTGCACTTACTCGAGACCGATGCACTCTTGCTCGGCTCTTGATACACATTCAGTGCTCTTGAAGCCCTACACAACAGCGACAGCCTTCTTTGTCCGACCAGACTCCAGACCCGCTCATGAAAATCCTCACCATTTCAAGCAACCGTTAGACCACCCTAGCAAAGACGGTCGTTGCAGGCTGGCACGCAAGAGTGCTCTAGGTGACGTCTACTCACGGCTTCCTGACAGCTCTTGAAAGGCGTTTTCATGAGCCACAATCACGAGCGAGTGCAGCGATGGCTACTTTTGACTTTTTCAAGAGCTACATCCTGACAGCTCTTGAAGCGTTTTCTGACCGCCCAACTCTAGAGTAAGTGCAGCGGTGTGGAGCTCTTGAAAATGCGTGTTTCAAGAGTACTGCAGCAAAGCCCTAAGCTTACTCTTGACTTCCTTTGCCAAAGAGAATTTATGTCAGAACAACCGAACAGCGTGCACTGCGGCCTATTTCAAGGAAGCCTCAGACTATTGTCAATGGATATGGTCCGTGCGCCCACTCACATGCAGTCGTCTTGACTGCCACAGCCATGGTCAGTGAATCATACCCTGGAATCTGACACCCCGCCTGGAGCAGACACCATCTGTGAGAAGAGCACTTTCTTTTCTTTTTTAGCATTTTTTGAATTTTTTTCTTCATTTGTTTTGGTCATGAAATGGTTTTTTGCGTTTATTTTCCCTATTTCACGCCGCCACCCACCTGTCCCCCACCCGTCCCACACCCGTCACACGAATCCACATACTTGGCTAGTGGGATCTCGCTCATGGACTCCACAGAAATGCGGATGGAAAGATGTTTGCCCATGAATTGCGGGCAAAGTTTCTTGGAAACAGAAATTATAGAAAAAGCTGGGACCCCACCGAGGAGGACAGAAATGCGGATGGAAAAACAGTTGAGCCAATCGTTGCCTGCCTCCGTTGGCACTCCTTTGTTTTGTGAGGTTTTCTTTTGGTTTTCTTTTTGTTTTTGTGTCACTCTCTCTTCGTCGCTATTGGCTGGCTGCTGCCTCGACCTTCCATTGCCAAGGGGACGACATGCTCCCCCGACTACCCTCCGAAACCAGCACAAATTTGTGGGAAGGAATCCAGAACTCCCGTGAGACTTTTCCAGGCCATGGACAATGTGAAAACACAAAACAATGTTTTTCCAAGCCGCAATCTTTGGTCTGTGGGTTCCCGGAAAACTGTGTGCGGAAGAAATTTCACCTTTTCCTGGATGTCTGCTGCGGGATGCGGGGCCCCAGAAACTGTTTTGCGGCAAAGTGTTTTTCGTCCGCATTTCTGTGGGGTCCAGGCCTATGTCAACTCTCAGACAGCTTTCCCTTTTTTTTTTTTTTTTTTTTAAAGCCCTTTTGCGAGTCCACTATTTCCCATTTCTTGGGGGGGCCGGGGTGGGTGGGTGGGTGGGTGGGTATTATAGCTGCCATTATCCCCTTCCTAGCACAAATTAATCCAAACAAAGAAAACAACAATGGGTCATAAAGCCACAAGTACTTCCTAAATTTGTGCCCGTAAACAAGCCGCGACTTTAGGAGACGCACCCAAGTTCATCCGATAAGAAACAATTCTACTCTATTTTTTTCTCGCGGCTAATAGCTGGGCCGAGTACTGGTGGTTTAATCATTTAAAACGGTTTCATTATTGCAGAAAAGTTTATCCATCCATTGCAGTC